AAGAAAAAAAAAAAAAAAAAAAAAAAATCGAAAGAGTGAGATGCAAATTTTCTCTAGAACTAATTAAACTCTCACTCCACTCATTCCAAAATCAAATGTTAAACTCAAACAAAATTTTGAATGGCATTCGATAAAGAAATCTATTAGTGTATGGTCAGCATTAGTCTGCATGTTTTGGGGGCTTTTCTCCAGGTGATGATTTTAAGCGGTGGTTGGGGGAAATAACAGTCCCTAAAAACGTTCCCCGGTAGAAGGAGGGTTCAGCTAGGCACTTTTATAAACTGCACTGCCTAAGTACTATACAGCAAAAATCTCATTACAAGCACATCTCACCTATCTGTACTGCCTTGCTGCCTCCCTGCTCTGTCCTCGCTCCTTTGTTCCAGGTATGAGGGAGCATGTGAACTCCCCCATGTGTTTGGACCTGAGCAGACAATCAATGGGCTCAAACATTGTCAAGCGTTGGGGGGGCATGACGCCATCCACCTGGGTAAGCTCCAACGCCATCGCTTACTGAAGCTTATTCAGGGTGGACTGTTGCAGGGGGATATTTGGAAGTGGAAATAAAGAGCTGGACCCGTGTGGTTATTCTTGGTGTTTCTCATCCAACAGTAGATGTGAATATGTGTGATCTGCTTAACGGGTAGGCAGATCTTCACAGAATCATCAGTGAACACAGTAGATGTGACAATTGAAAACACAGGGGGAGGCAGTGAAGGAACACGGATCGCCTAGGGGGTGGGCTATTTGCAGAAACGGTCACTCTGCCCTGACAGTGAAGGTGTAGTAAAGCAGGCAAGTAGGCCTCAAATATGACAATTCCAAAATGCACTAAAATCTCAAAGAAATGGAGGAAGCAAGTCCATGGATAGCATGGTGAGATTTAACCACTTGGGGGGAAAAAAACATTATTTTGAGTGTAAATGATTTAGTGTTGTCTTTTAAATGAAATATCCGAGTATAAGCCTTCTGCCAGGTTTATTTTTCTTGCTTGCACTAGCTCTCCATTAATAATAGAGTGAGAGGTCTTGTGAATTAGGCAAATCTTTCAATAACCTGAGTATGGGCAACATGAAGGCTACGCTGAGAGGTAATTAAAATTAATATGTTCAGTAGATTCTAATGGCAGAACATTCCAAAGACAACAAGCAGTGTGAATATCATTATAGGTCAGCAGTGAAATAGATTCCCTGTTCATTTTACATCTAGATCCTTCAACAGAAGTCAATTAAAGAATAAAGTTTTGTTGAACCAGGTATTGCCGACAGGGCCACCCAGAGCTCAAATTACATCCGATTCCACCTAAATGTTGAGCTATAGGGTTAAGGCTTTTCCCCATAGTTCTCCTGAAGGTAACGGGAGGACATAAACTAGCGTCCTCCCGTCACCCAAAGCTCAGTATACCGCGAGCTATACTGAGACGCAGCAGCCGGGACGGATCCCGACATTACTGTCTGGATCTACCCATCTGCGTGAGTGACAGCTGGCTCTGCCTATCTAGAGGCAGAGCCAGATGTACCCGCCCCCTCCCCAGTCCGTTCCGCCAGTCAGCGCTGGAGGATTGAAGCGGTGAGGGGGGGGGGAAACCCTGCAGGGAGCCGTAAGTGACAGTCACGGCCCTCTGCAGGGACAGGATCGAGAAGTGAGCGAGCGACGGTATGTGTTCGCTCACTTCCCGATCTATTGAGCCGACCTGTCACAGTTTAATTGTCACAGGTCGGCTAGAACTATGAGGCTGAGTGATTTTCACTCACCTCATAGTTCTCCTTTAAGGGCCGGGGTATGTAGGTCATTGTTTCTTCTTTAAGTTGCTTTTCTGAGATCTGTGACTCACTATTAGGTGAAAGAAGAAGGATCGCAGCCCTGAAGCTTCATTTCAAACATAATAGCAGCTCCTTTATTTTTTATTTAGACAGGTTCCCTTTGGACAATTGGTCTTCTTCTGCCGTCACTCTACTACGTGTCATGTTATTGCTCCTGCCCTGCTCCAGCCAGCCAGAAGATCAGCTTACACCACCATGTCTGACGATTTCTTTCTGAACCTGAGAGCAGATATTCTGCCAAACCTGCAGATCCCAGGGGACAGCCTGGAAAGCCCTAATTATATCTGTAGCAAAATAACAAAGCAGTTACTGTTCCACATGAGACGTGCTCCTCAGGTTCTTCTTAATGCATAACGCCAAGGGAGACATCTGGGGCATAACAAACACTAATCCCCTTGTGTATTCCCAGGTGAAGAGATGAATTGTCTAACACAGAAAATGGAGGGACTCACCCAGCCTGGAAGTAAAATGATCTCCTGCAGCTTGTCTATTGTTCTGATCGGGATATGATTACTCTGCATGGTACTGTGTCACAACCTGGAGGGAGGACCTGCGACTGACCAAGGGTCAGCCCAGTGTACACATCTGCATTGAGGGCTCTGTGCACGCTCACTTCACTTTGCCATTATTTGCCACCACCTGTTGTCATTTGTTCAAATGTTTGAAGTGGAACTCATTCTTTCTCTTCAAGCACTCAATAGAGTTTAGATCGGATTGGCAATTGCACAGAAAGATTATCATTAGGCCTCACGCGCACGGCCGCAAAAAAGAAACACAGTGTAAAGCGTAAATGACGTCCAAACAAGAAAATGACTTTGAAAACAGAGCAGGAGGAACAGAATGAGAATTTGATACATGTGAACGCATACATGCTTACGCGTCTGAATGCAATCATTTTACTGATCATTACGGTGCAACCTTTTGGCCAGAAGAAGACATGTACATACGAGCAGTAACTTTCTCATGGCCATGTACAAGAAGCCTTAAAGTGACACTAAACTGGTGTTCCCCATGCCCCCTGTGTGTTTTGTAAAGTAGCCACCGCTCTAAACTCACTCCTGTGCTGGATTTAAAGAGTTTACTAATCTGTATTGAGATTGTAGTCCATCACAGGAGTGAGCTTGGAGTGGTGACTACTTTACAACACACACAGGGACCATGGGGAACAGAAGTAGCCACCCTCCAGAAGGAAGGACAGTGTCAGCAGCAATTCAGAGATGATTTGAGGATCTACAGCCGAGTGATACACAAATAACATACATTTTTTGTTAATTGTTAAGGGACTTGAATGCATTTTTAAGATCTAACGCCTCAGTTTAGTGTCACTTTAATGAAATAAGACTCTTAAAATGATTGCTGAATGTGTCTATGGCTTGAAACAATGTTGCAGTCCTGAAAAGTGGATGCCTGCCTAAGGGCTTGTTCACACCAGATGCAGTTGTGATGCAGTCCGTTCAGTCTTGCGGGTGCATCAAAATCTCGTCACAATGCTTTCCAATGTGATTTCTGGTGCTCTGTCCACACCAGTGTGGTCAGTTCCGATGCAGTCAGAAAAAAATCCTGCTTGTCACCTTTTAGCTGCACCAGATCGCAACGGAACGCATCAAAAACGAATACAAACGTCTGCAAATGCACTGGACTGCACATGAAAGCCCATTTTAAGCTAAAAAAAAAAAAACAGCACCCGAGCGTGTCACAAACGCATAAAAAATCCATCAAAACGCATCACACTGCAGCTACACACACAGTTCTGATGCAGTTAGGGTGTGAACTAGCCCCCCAAAAAATCAGCTCTATAACTTCTGTACTATATAGTCTGCTCATGAAGCATTGATCCTATTTAATAACGCTAGCATGTTCAAACAATGCCCATGATTAACTTGTCAGGTAGTGTGGGAATTGAGGAGTATCTGGTGGAGAGGTGTGCAGTGGCATGGCAATGTTGTCATAGCTTTTAATTTCCACTGTAGGATGGATACTTTGTATATGGGAATTATATTGCATCATTTTATATTTATTGTGCATTAAAGGATTTTGTATTGTATCGTGTCCAGGATTCCCTTCATTTTCTATTATAATATTTGCTGTAGGCAAACCCAAACTACAAATCCCATTAGGCATTGCAAGACTCTGATAGCCACAGGCATGAGTCCCAGAGGCAGATGCATGATGGGATTTAAAGTTGCACCACACCTGGAGGGCCAAAGTTTGCCTACCCCTGCTACAGAGTGTCATTTGAGTGAGCTCTGACTCTGCTGGGGCTGCTGGCATCATATCCAAAATGGCAGCACCCAGCAGCAGTCTCAGGGCTTTTGGAGGTCTACACAAGGGAGGCGTTTACAGGAAAATGGCATGCACATATCATCTGATGGGAAGACTTTTGTTACAATCAATGGTGTGGTGACAGGGCCTCTTCAATGTAAATTTGTGCCCCCCCCAATAGAGTCCCCCTTGCACTCCCTTAGTGCAGATCCAAGAAAAACTTGGAACTTTCAGAGAGGGGAATCAGGTCAGAGAGAAAAGAATAGGAAGTAAGGTACAATCTCTTATTTGACTGGTGTCAGACAGAACAGGAAGTAGAGGCTATCCCCCCAACAGAGACACAGGCAGAGTAAGAAATACAGGACCATGTGAATACATGGCAATCACCAACACACTGACCATTTTTACAAAGTTGTATGTAAAACTCATCAGACAGAATGATAATTTGCCTCATTTTATTGGAACCACCGTACCTTTATGTGATAGGGGTCCACCACTCTAAGGTCGCACGTCTGCGCATCCAGGCCCACTTTGCAGATATAGAGGATGCACAATAAAAAAACAAAGAACAAGATAGACCTAGAGAAAAAAAAAGAAAAAAGAAGAAAAAGTCCAGTTTAACACTAAGTACGATAGTAACCCAATTTGTGCCACACAATCTAAAATAAAACTATCTACATAAACAGTAACAACCATGTGATATATAAATATGTACAATATAATGTACAATCACATTTCTTCTATATTATACTGGAGTGAGAGAGAGGAGAGAGGGGGAGCGAGAGAAAGAGAGAGGGTAAGCGAGAGAAAGAGAGAGAGGGGGAGCGAGAGAGAGAGAGAAAGAGGGAGAGCGAGAGAGGAGAGAAAAGGGAAAAAAAGAGAGAAAGAGAGAGGGGGAGGGAGAGAGAGAGAGAGGGGAGAGAGAGAGAGAGAGAGGGGAGAGAGAGAGATAGAGGGGGGAGAATAGAGGGGAGAGAGAGAGAGGAGAGAGAGAGGGGAGGGGGGAGAGAGAGAGGGGAGGAGAGAGAAACGTTATAATGTGTAGAACTTCAAAATTTTATTCCACATGGATCTGTAAAAAAAACTATCACTCACACGTTTCTGCCTCACTCGCCCTTAATTATAGCTAGTTGTTTACCAACACCACCCCGACTAAAATAGAACAGCATGCAGGGCAGGGAGAAAAACTTAAATAAGTGCCTTATTAGAGACAAGTATGTTACATAGAATTATAGGGCGAGTAAAATACAGTCATCCCCGTAATCCGACCGGTCACAACAGGGGTGTGGAAATTTTTGAAAAAACTACTTGTCCAAGGGCTAAAGCGGGGGTCAAATCTACTTGTCCTTCATGACAATCTACTACCCAAATCTACCCAATACAAAAAAAAAAAAGTTTTAAAAGTTTAAAACTAGGGATGCACCAATACCAGTTTTTGGGTATCGAGTACGAGTACCAATATTTTGCTTTCAGTACTCACTGAGTATCGGTGCTTCCGTTGGCATGGAGCAGGCTTCCCGGGCAGTCAGGAAGCCGGGCAGCGGGTAATGAGATGCCACCCGGCTTCCTGACTGCCAGGGAAGCCGACTCCATGTTGTTTGGCTGGATTGATTGTGATTGGCTGGGAGGCCTGCTCCATGCAAACTTAATTACCTGATTGGCCGGAAAGATGGCTCGATGCTGATTGGCGGCCATTTGGCAAGGAGCTGGCTTCCCGGCCAATCACCTGACCACGCTGACCAATGAGTGCTTGCAATTTGCAAGCAAAATTCAAAATGCATAGGACAGGAATGCGCTGGACAGTACGGGGTAAGGACACCTGTACTGGCGGAGGTTAGGGACTGTTTGCAGAAAGTTAAGTAAAGCTGGCAGGTGGGGGGGTAGAAGAGACCGGGCCAGATTTGATTGGGTAATTCCATTTTCCCGTGTTACCTGGGAAAGTGAACTTACCCTTTAATGCACATTGTGTGTGTGAGAGAGTTCTGCCCAGGTACCACAATATGGCACACAGTGAAATGGTGGCAGGACTCAACACACACACACAATTTCCTATGCGTGTGTTTATTTGTATGCAGATGGCAGGGGCAGCGGAGTTGGTTTTAATTTCTTTTTTGTTAACTTTGTCAAGCGATGGAGCTCCAGGGCCCAGTCCTAGCTGCAACCCTGGTAGTTCCTGTGAAGATGCCAAGTATTGGTACCGATACAGATACTGGTATATGAATATCCGTAGTCTAAACCCAAAACCAAATATGTCATATATTACAGCTTACTGATCCTTAGATGTGGTGGCTGCTTTAGTTTTCTTTTTTGAACTTTTATTCCTGTATTTTCACCTGGGGTCACCCTAGGCTGCTCCCTAGATTTGGATTACAAACACCTCTCCATTCGCTCATCTTCATAACACATGGGGAGGGAGGGGGGGGGGTTGTAGTTCACAGATGATATGGTTTTAAGGTGTCAGTTCAGGGCACAGAAGGTTATAAAAACACAGGATCAACAGGAATTTTCTGTACTAGCCCGAAAAATTAAAACTAATGCAGCAGCCACATCTAAGGACTGGTAAGCTACAACATAAAAAATGTTTGTTCTTGGGTCTAGAAATCCTTTAGGGCCGGTTCACACCATATCCAGTGCGTTCCGGCGCGGTTAGAAGATCACACAGAGCAAGCCTCCTGTATTCTGGGGTGGGAGGGGGCATGGTTTTGCCATTCATGTCAATGTCTTTGCAGACAAGCCTCCCACCCACAGTGCAATCACCTGTACCAGAACACACGGTACAGCAATGCCCTGCGTTTCAGTGCAGTGCGATCACAGAAATAGTGCATGCGTGATGAGAGGAGTGTCACCCGACGGCTTCCCTGGGTGATACCATGTCTGGGGATGTTCGTGCCTCAGCGTTCTCACGTCCTATATACAGTGTATAGAACGTGATGACTCAAGGATCCTTAGACTACTGCAGCGGAGGGGGGAGAGAGGCTCCAGGGGCTGGCCTCAGAGCAAGCCAGCTCCGTGGATCAGGTGAGTATAACTTTTATTTTTTAGCACTGTAACGTAGATCAGAAATATGAGCCTTGAAATATTAGATGTGTTTGGAAATTAACAACATCTAAGAACATGTGCTCAAAACTCACCCAAAGGCCTCATGTTAATCAGTCAACTGATCTATGTAACTGATCAATGAAGTCCTGTGCCCACACAAGGGGTCTAGAGATGAGCAGGAAGCTCGGGATGTATTGTATTCTGTACAGGACAAAACAAGACACTTCGGCAACAGCAGTGCCTGTGCTCAGATCTCCGATTCCTGAACTCCAGGTACAATGAAGGGAATTTATCAAGACTGGAGCAGACATAATCTAGAGCAGCTGTGCATGGCAACCTATCAGGCTCTCTCTTTCATTTTCAAATCCTTACTGACCAGAATGAAAAGAGAAGGCGATTGGTTGCCATGCACAGCTGCTGCAGTTTTTGTTTGCTCCAGTTTTGATAAATTCCCCTCAATATATTTACAACCTTGTGCTCAGAGAAGGTAGTCAGAGTATTCTCAGTTTTAATCCAGTGATAGACACAGAGAGACCTGTGACTGGGGAATCTCCCTGGAAGCAGACGAGAAGATGAGAACTGCTGGGACTTGTAGATCTGTGAACCCTTTGCTGCCTGCTACCTGGTGTACTTGACACCAAAGCCAGGTCACCTCGGACCTTCACCCCTCTCCCTCCAGAAGGGCTCTGCATACCCCTCACTCTGCGAATCACCCCGCCTGGATCTCCCTCCGCCAAGCCAACCTCTATCCCTACTGTACCCTACTGCTGTGTATCCCTTAATAAGGAACCCCTCGGCCACAGGTCCTAAAAAAAAACCACTCTCGATCTCTGTGTGTGTTCTGCTCCCCCCCCCCCCCCCCTCCATCACAAGCACCTATACAAAAATGAGCACTTAACCCTTGCAGTGCAGGGGTAGCCTCCCTGTAAGGGTTACGAACACTTTTGCCCAGAGTTCTGCTATAACATATGCATTGCCTGATGCTTAAATCAGGCTAAAACACTTGCAAAATGTCCGGCTAGCTGGGCAAGTTCGATTACCTACCAAACTCACATCCATGACACTCATTTTACAGACAATGCTGGGCTTTCGAGTAAGAAAGTCTAGCACTGTCGGCATGCTTGCTCTTAGCTTACACACATTTCTTGTCAGGCAGGCCTTTAAAGTTGCCGATCTTAAAATATATAAAATATTGCAATACATTCCCCTCAACAGGCAGATATGGAAAAGTATACAGAACAGATTAAATATGATTACACTGCTTAGGATTGTGACATTTCTGGGGTAAAGGATGCACAATAAGAAGGTGTTACTGCTCTAAATCAATTCTAACAATAGCTGACGGTACTTGGCACCGGTCCATGACCAAACCAGCAGTGCGTGTTTAAAAAGGGAAGAGCGGAGATGAAGTACAGACAGAGGAGATGACTAAATGTAGGTGTCATAGCAGTCCTGCCACATCCTGCTCACATAGCTCTTGGTCAACACATGGACGGAATATATTTGATACATTCATATACAAACCATTTCTCCATTTCTCCATTTCCTACAAAGGTGGCAAATTGACATCTAATTTCAGTTTTGTGGTTACAGAAAAGACACTCTATAGATGTCACCAGTATAAAAGCAGCCACCATGTCCTTTTCATTCTATTGTCAAGAGGAGTTCTCCACCTTCCTACTTTTCTCAGTAAAAATCCCCAATGTGAGTCTTAGGGCCTGTTCACATGATATCAGGTCCTGATCAGGTGCGGATCTGCAGACTGATGCAGTGCGTTTTTGCCACGTTTTTGCCGCGTTTTGGATGCTGGAGTGGGGCTGTTAGCATGTTAGCTGCAGTGCAGTGCGTTTTTGATGCGTTTTGGACGCGTTTGCGTTTCCTGACCGTTTCTGAACCGGACAAAATGTGACATGCAGTATTTTTTCTGTCGTAAGCTGAACGGACTGCGCACGTGAGAACTGGAGCCCATAAAACACATAGGGATACATTGGAATGCATTTTGAGTGCAGCAGCGTACGGAGCCGGTCAGCACACAAAACGGACGTCGTGTGAACAGGCCCTTAAAAAAATTAATGATGTTATTTTTCTAAGTTAGGTGAACACTGTGCCCACGTCCCTTCCTGCGTTGCAGCTCTTCTTTTAACTATCACTGACCATGTGCAAACCCGACCCGGCACTGCAACCATTTTTATCAAATATATCTGCAGCATTTATATAGCTTCAACATAATACGTCGGGGATTGGCCAGGTCGCCAATGCTCCTTTTTACAGCTGGCGCCCAACTTTGGAGATTCTCTCTAGTTGGTGTCAATGGAGCTGGCACCTAGAAAATCCTGCTGGCTCCTGGATTGGACAAACTGGCTCAGAACTCAATTATAATTTGTCCACCCCTGTAAAGAGTACCTAGACCCATTCACATTACTCTCGGTCCCCTATGGAGGCTAGTAATCTCATGCTCCTACCATACATATACGCACACTAAGAGCAATTAACAAGGATGCCAGTTACTCCACCAGCAGGTTTTTTGGGAGTTACCCTATGGGAGTTGAAGTGAACTTCTACACCGTTACAAACATTTACAAAGGTGCCTCCCGCCTACTAGCAATCATTACATTAAAGCACAACTCCGGGCAAAACTGTTATTAACCCTTGCAGTTGGGCTACCCCCGCACTGCAAGGGTTAACTGATTATTTTTGTCTGTGGACTAAAAAAAAACAAAAAAAAAAAACGTATACTCGCCTGATCCTCTGAGCCGGTTTGCTCTTAGACCGGTCCCGGAGCCTCTCTGCCCCTACACTGCAGCAGTTTAAGGATCCTCAAGTCATCAGGTCCAATACAGTGTATAGGACATGAGGCTGCTGAGGGACATACTAATCGCTGCAGGTGGAGGTTCCTTGCAAGTCTGGGGCTGTATTTCTGCCAATGCAGATGGAGATTTGGTCAGGATCAATGGTGTCCTCAATGTTGAGACATACAAGCAGATACTTACCCATCATGCCATCAGGGAGGAATGTGATTGGCCCCAAATTTATTCTGCAGCAGGACAACGACCCCAAACATACAGCCAATGTCATTAAGAACTATCTTCAGCGTTAAGATGAACAAGGAGTCCCGGAACTGATGGTTTGGCCCCCACAGAGTCCTGATCTCACCATCATGGAGACTGTCTGGGATCACATGGAGACACAGAATGATTTGAGGCAGCCGACATCCACAGAAGATCTGTGCTTAGTTCTCCAAGATGTACCTAGAACAACCTACCTGCCGAGTTCCTTCAAAAACTGTGTGCACGTCTACCTAGAAGAATTGATGCTGTTTTGAGGGCAAAATATTGATTTGGATTTCTCTTTTGTTCATTTACTTTCCATTTTGTTAATTGATAAAAATAAACTAATACTTATTATATATTTATTATAAATGCTTTTCTAAGTAAAAGTTTCCTTTAGATACGGTCTGTTTTTTTTCTTTTCAACTGACACGGCAGTAAACTTGCAGACCATATACAGTATTTATTGCTCATGCAGAACGTGCTTCATCAGTATGACAGAGGGAACAGAAAAACCACAATGCTGGTACATCTTCCCTCAATACACCGTAAGAACAGACTCGTCTGCAGACTCCTAATCAAACTCTAAGGCTGGGCACACACCTTATAACCATCACAGGACTTTTGTCTTGCGATGGTTGTAAGGTTATTAAAAAAAACTTACGATCTGCCTATCTTGGACAGACACATCGCACTTGTGATAATCGCAAGCCCGCCCTGCTGAGGGGCGGGCTTCCGATGACCGCAATGCTGAACGGGCAGTGTGCACTTGCGCACACCCGCCCGTGCGGCAATTATCTTATGATCATGCCACAAACCAGCAGAAAATCGCATGATTCTCGGCTGGTTTTCAAACATGTTCGGAAGACAAAAGTCGTGCGATCGTACAGTAGAAACGGTCGCACGCCTTCCACACACCTTGCGATTATCGTACGATCGCGTGTGTGGGCACCTTAAGACAGTTCTATCCAAAATGATGACAACAGCCGTGACACCTCTAGGTTCAAAGCTGATCGCTGTCCGGAGGTCGTGATCAATCTCTATTCCCTCCAGAGCTGTTAAAAATAAACTCTGGTGTGACTTGAGCTGGGTACACACGGTAAAAAATTAACTTTCAGGGCGTTTATTTGATTCGATTTTCTAACAATGAGGTCAATTTGACAATCGATTTGACTCCAGCATGGAAAAGTAAAAGGTGCACCGAAATGGAAATTTCAAAACCGAAACGAAACCAAAATAAAAAAAATTGTTAGGCCAAAACCGAAAATGTTTTTTATTTAAATGTTTTCTAATTTTTGTTATATCTTATTTTTTTTTAAACGTTTTCATTTTTTTTATATTTTTATTTATGAATTCATTTTTTATTAAATTTTTTTTTTTTTTACTTTACTGTTAGGGGCTTCGGGGGAAATATTAGGGGTCTAAATAGACCCCTGATATTTCCCTTTTAAAATAGAAGTCCTCAATCTCTTTTTCTGCAGCCCCTGTTATCAATGAACAGGAATCCTCTATACCAGGGGTGGCAAACACAAGGCCCGCGGGCCGAATCCGGCCCGCCGGACCTTGTAATGTGGCCCGCACAGCAGCAAGGGCCGGTCCGCTATGCCGTCTCTGTGCAGAGCAGTGTCTACTGTGTGGTAGCGAGCAGAGCCGGCACTACCACACAGTAGACACTAGAGGGCGCTGGTGGGGGAGGCCAGAGAAACACCTCCTCCCCCAGCCCTCTCTACTCTGTACTCTTTCCGGAGCTTGCTGGTGCTGTTCCTGCAGCCTGCACTGTCCGGTACCGGCCGAGATATTAACATATGAATGGACTGCGGTAATTTGCATATCAATAAGCCGCGGCACATTCATATGTAAATATCACGGCTCATTCATATGCAAATCGCCGCCCCTCCCCCACTGCTAAGGAAGAGAAGGGAAGAGAAGACTGTTTTCAAGGCTAGTTATTACTTAAATTATTATTAAAACCAGTAGCAACTGAATGCAGAGGCAACTATTTATGATAATAAAGAGTAGATGCATAGTCCCATACAACCGGCCCTTTGAGGGTAACCATACTGCTGATGCGGCCCCCGATGAATTTGAGTTTGCCACCCCTGCTCTATACTGAGTGTTCCTGTTCATTCATAACATGATAACATTGTGTGTTTACTATAACCATAACTATGAATGTACAGGAGGAGATGTAGGTCACTCCCATTATTGAGGATATAGTAACCATACCATGTCCTCAATTATCTACAAACACTCAGCGATCACCGACTGCTTGTACCTCGCTCTCCTCTCTGACACGTTGTCACAGGAGGCTGCGCAAGCGGTGCAGGGAGGAGAGCTCAACCTCCTGTGACAGCTCAAGCTGTCTCCGCCCACACACCGCTCTGCCGGACTGTGATAGGTGGCTGAGTGGTGTGGGAGGAGACGCCGACCGCTCACAGCGCTCTCCTCCCGCAGAGCTCGGCCGGCTGTCACAATTTCTCTCCTCTCCACTGGGACACAGAGCAGCGCCCAGCGGGGAGGGAAGAAAGCACGGATGCGCGGATGTACCGGCAGGAAAATTGGCCTTTCGGCATTTAGCCAAAAGTGCCATTTTCGGTCGATGTGTTTCGGCGGCCAATATAGCGGTGCATCCATATGGAAAAGTAAACCAAAAGGAGCAGGATGGAGAATTTTTCTCAAACGAACAAAATTTTAACAGTGAATGTGGTTCTCGTTCGGGGAAACTCCATTCATTCCAAAAATCGAATGCAAAAACCAAACAAAGTTTCTAACGACATCCATCAAGTCTCTGATCGCATTATCGAATGTTCTGATGAGATTTATAGTATGAAAGTTAGTAGGAAATCCTACCATTGTATGACGGGCTTTAGAAGCTGGATGTCAGTTATAAAACACGGAGCTGATAAAACCAACAAGTATCCATTGTCATTGGAAAAGAAGAGAGAGTACCTGACAGTCTCAAAGCAATTGCGTCAATACACGATGCCAAGGGCGGACAACTTAATCTGGAATTAAGGAGCCAGTCTATCCAATCCAGGAGCCAGCAGGAATTGTTTAGGAGCCACCTCCATTGACCACAACTAGAGAAAAACCTCAACAGTTATGGACCAGCCTAACTGTTTAAGGAGCATTGGCAAGCTGGCTCCTGGGATTCCTCTAGCCCTTCCCTATGTCACATAATTGCTTCACCATTTTCATGTCATTGCAGTTACTTTCATTGGAACGTCAACTCTGGCCCCTTCACAGGTCTGAACTCTTCCTATGCTTGAACTTTCCCGCATACTAACTACGTATCCCTTCAACACAGTCAGCAAGAGATTTGTGTCAATCACCCCTCCTTTTCTTTCTCACTGCAGCAGCCAAAGCATGAGCCAGATCAGATATTTCACATGTGTGGAAATGAATGACCAGCATTAAAAATAAAGAGAACAGGCAGGTACATATAGAACAGTTCAAAAACAACCTTAGCAACTGCATAGAGAATAACATGGGAAGAAATGGAGGGTTCCATGTTGACCTTACTAATAACACTAGCCAGCTCAGTCAACAAACCAGTAGTAAAGCACGAAGGGTGGCAACCTATTGCAGCCAACCGCAATCACCTAGAAACATTCAATCTAAAATTGATGGATTCTGATAGGTGATGCTCTTATCTTCTGCCATCGTTTTAATGCATACCAACATAGATGGTTGTAAGGTATGCGGAGACTTGCGACTCCTCAAAAACAGATGGGATAATGGATGTACTACATACCTGAACAAGATCCTGCAGCAGCATTTACAGGTGGGCCTCATCTTCTGGTCCTCCAATGCACATCACCAGCAGGCTAAAGAGCACAGTGCAGAGGGGAATGCACAATCTTCTGTCTTCATGTGGCAGACCTGTGAGTAACAAAAGAGAGCACCATGAGACACAAAGCCACTCTTCTCTGGAAAGACTAGTCATTACGTCACTGCACTCAATGAACTGAATCAGATTAGAATGGATTGTTACCAAAGTCCAAAAGGTATTTGCACTGATAGGGTGGTGGGATAGCACAGCAAATATCCAAAGTTCATGCGGGACTCCAGTAGGATGGTATAATGAGAAGCAGGGGGAACCAGCAGCCCGTCCTTCTAACCTAACTTATGTGTCCTGCTGATGCATTTGGTTAGATAGACTTCTTTGGAGCTTTGGGAAGATCCACTTATATCTGATTCAATTGCCATTAGAATACTGACTGTGTTATGGATAGAATAAATTTCCTGAGAACATACTTCATACAAACTAGCCCTTGCATTTCCCGAAACAATATACATTTATGGATATTGAATTTTGCTTGCTTATATACATGTGTAGAAATACTATTATTTTATCACTGGACATCCATTCAAGTACCAACAGTCTGTGTCCCTTGGGACTTAAAAACACCTCTTCTATTATGGTTTTATTGCATTAGAACATAGTTACATAGTATTTGAGGTTGAATAAAGACATTAGTCCAATATCGACAGTTTAACATAGAATTAAACTGGATTTTTGGGGGGTTTTGTACCATGTGATGTACACAACATGCCGACCACTTTGTAGATGCAACACACGACTAATGAAGCAAATTGAAGACAGAGGATCTCTCCAAACAGGTCAGAGGCAAAGTTGTGGAGAAGTATAGATGGGGCTTGGTCATAAAAAAAATATTGGAAAACTCTGATCATCCCACAGAGTATCATTACATCCATTACGACAAAATGGAAAGAATATGGCACCACTACAAACCAGGTAAGAGAAAAGCTAGAGGGGCATTATTCAGAGATGCAACAAAAACCCCAAAGATAACACTGAAGAAGCTACAAAGATCCACAGTAAATGTGGAAGTATCTGCTCATCGATCCACTTTAAAGTGACACTAAACCCAGGAGTTAAATCTTAAAAATTGGTGCTGCCACTGTCCTTACTTCTGGAGGGGGGCTGCTTTTGTTCCCCATGGTCCCTGTGTGTGTTGTAAAGTAGCCACCGCTCCAAGCTCACTACCGCGATAGACTATTATCTCAATACACATTAGTAAACTAAATGTGAGATTATAGTCTTACCACGGGAGTGAGCTTGGAGCGGTGACTACTTTACAACACACACAGGGACCATGGGGAACAAAAGTAGCCCCCCTCCAGAAGTAAGGACAGTGTCAGCACCAATTCAGAGATGATTTCAGGATCTACAGCTCAGTGATACACAAATAAGATAATATTTTGTTAATAGTTAGGATACTTGAATGCATTTTTAAAGTTTAAGTTATAAGTTTAGTGTCGCTTTAAGACATAAAAGGCTCATTTTAAAAGGAACCAGTCAGATTATGGGAGATGGCATTGCTGACCTGCCTTTAAAGGTACAAGTTCTAATACTTTCAAGCTGATCTGATTCCCTTTGGCAGCTCACTGATGGCCAAATCCGGGGGGGCCCCGTCAGGCCAGCTATGGGTGAAGGTACAAATTATAGCACCATCAACCTGATCTGATTCCCTTTTTTAGCTCACTGGTGGCCATATCTAAGGCACCATCAGGTTATATCCGGATAATGATCTGACACCGTAATGGAGAGAAGACTTATGACCATCGACCGGTTTCCATAAATCTTTATTCAGCAGTAAGATCAATATCTTCTCAGAATCCACAATGACAACTGTGTTTTAACGAGCGCTCATATCACACACTATTATAGCCAGAAGACAGCTAGTCAGCTTTGTATTAGCTCGTTGTAGTTTGTTAAAGCGGACCTTTACCCCCTTTGACTAAAAATCACATTAGCATTCAGCTCTGCAGGCCGATATGAAATCATCTTACATTCATTAGTCAAAACAAACGCATTTTTATTTTACTTACAATTACTGTTTTCCCACTCCCTGGTCCCTGAGATGATGCGCACGGTGACATACCCTAGTCAAATGTGCCGGAGTTCCAGAAAGAAAAGGAGGATCTAGTAACCTGCCCCGAGTTAAAATGGCCACTGTGAGAAGACAGGGGAAGTAAATAAAAATAAGAGGTATGCAAAGAATAAAAAGCTGGCAATTATCTATAAATATATAGATATGAAGATATAATTACCTAACATGTCTAAAGGTGCCTTCGTTGTTATTTTGAAGATATGGGTAAAGTTCCTGTTTAAGCGGAGCAATGTCACCTTGTTCTGATGTGCTGCCAAAATATAGAGAAAAGCATTGCTGGTGACTAAAAGATTCTCACTTTTGCTTTTCTTGCCCCATTAATAAGCCACACAAGCAATAAGCTGTAAGTAGCTGAATAAAAGCCTTACGTAAGCACCATTTCTACAAAGCAAGAATGCTGAGAATGTCTCCGAGTCACAGAATGCTAGAGGCTTACTTGAAATGACAGCTGTTATCATTGAAGTGACTGCTAAAAATAAATAAAATATATATAAATGGGACCCTGTAAGTCCTCATTCACACGAGAATCGGCCAGCACGTACAGCTCCGTGCTGCGTTTCACGGCCGTATCGGGCAGCTCCCAAGAAGGACAGGTGCTGCGTGTGATTAGTACGCAGCCCCTGTCCTTCTCTATGGGAATCCGCGGCCACAAGCCGCCCTACGTTCACCCGCCCTGCACGTCGGTGCGGGTGTCCGTACTCAGTTGTGACCGGCTGCGTCTGAGCCGGGACACCCGCACCCGTACGGACCTGCACTTGCGGTGAGCGTAGGGGGGGCATATGGCCGCCTTGTCCCATAGAGAAGGACAGGGGCTGCGTACACACACAGCACCTGTCCTTCCCGGGAGCTGCCCGATACGGCCGTGAAACGCAGCACGGAGCTGTACGTGCCGGCTGATTCCCATGTGAATGAGCCCTAAAAGAAGAGGAATAATACTCCAGCTGTGCCGCTGGTGCCTCTGATCTTCGCTCCCTATGCAGAACTGAGCCGTCCGAAGTATCTTCAGCACCAGACACTTTTGATGGTCTCAGATGCCTGTGTCCCCCACTATATGCTACAGCAGGGAAGGCAACCACGGCACTCCAGCTGTGGTGAAAGTACTACAAATCTCAACATGCTTCTACTTCAGGGTGTCATGCCTTTGGCTCTCAAGGTGGCCATACACTTTACAACCATCGCAAGACGTTAGTCTTGCGATGGTTGTAAAGTAATTTTAAAAAAGTACGATCTGCCCATCTTGGACAGGCAGATCGTACTTGCGATCATCGCAAGCCCGCCCTGCTGAGGGGCGGCTTCCGATGACCGCAATGCTGAACGGGCAGTGTGCGTGTGCGCACACCGGCCCATTCGGCATTTGTTTCCCGAGCACCGTTCAAAGCAGCCGAAAATCGTAAGTGCCTAGATGGAAATGAGCCGTTAACCTTTGCAGTGCAGGTGGGTAGTCCCATTGCAAAGGTTAATAAAAGTTTTGGCAGGTGTTCTTTTTTATTTAGTCAGCACTGCTCTGAACACACCACATGTATAACCAGAAAGTGAAGAAAACATTAAAAAAAACAGCGCACAGATCTAAGTGCAGTATAAAAGTGACTGTTTAACCTCCCAGGCGGTCCGATTATTTAATTTTTTTTCCTTTTTTTGTTCTATTTTCCCCCGTTATTTTTAATTTTACAATTCCTGCCAGTTCCGTCCCTTTGCGACGCGGACGCTCGTAAGGGACGGATGCTGGCATGGGCCAGAGGACACAGCGCGGCATGAGGGACAAGGTAAGTAACGTTACGCTGTAATCCCGAGTGTGGCTCGGGGTTACTGCTTATGCTACTGAAAATTAACCCCGAGCCACACTCGGGATTACCGCCATGGAGGTTAATAAAAGGTTAAAAGTAATGCACTTACAGGATATTTAAAAAAACATCTCGCCTGTCACACGTCAGATGGTCCAAGATTGTTATCAGGATACGGAGAGAGCAGAGCCCAGTCCAGTCCAGAAAGATTCCTGAACGCCTGTGCTGGAAGACACAGATCTGATCCAGTGGCTGAGCACTGCTGTGGCTGGTTCTGCTCAAAGCAGGGTCACAGCTGCTGAGTACTTCTGGGTCGTCAGGCGTTTCCCTAACCAGGCTGCAGGACCAGTGCATACATCTTCTCTGGATTAATCACCAGTTTAACTGGAGCTCCTTTAACACTTTCAATATATATACAGTCCATAAACAATCAATCAAGTTGCGCAAGTTGATGACTATGTATAATTATTATAATTATAGTTATATTATGTATAACCAGAAAGTGGAATGGGGAAGGGCCAGGCACAAGACGACAATAAAAAGGATTAACTACGCAGAAAAAAAGGAAGAAAAGATTATAAAAAGGTAGTAAGAAAAAAAAAACCAAAAAGATTAAAAAAGGATCGACAACGCAGAAAAAGGAAGATAACATAATAAAAAGGTCAGAGGGAAGAAAAAAAAGACAAAGATAAAAAAGAAATGACAACACAGGACTCATGGACTCATGCACATGTAGATTCACATGCATACACGCTATAGCTTGGACTTGATGGACCCGTGTCTTTTTTCAACCTCAAATACTATGTAACTATGGAAAGGGAAGATAATGTGAAGGAAATAAACCAACCCATTTAACTAGTAGAACCCAGTTACTGAATATTTCCCTTCACTTGCCTAAGTAAGAACCTACGTAACTGTGTGCAGGGACCCCGAGGGCCACGCAATATGTGCCAAAGGGCCGGATGTGGCCACCTGGGCTGCAGGTTGGGCACCAGCGTTCTAGCCGATCTTTACACATATACTGCAGCATAGAACTATATACATTTTTTTTTGTCCTGAAGAAATTGCTGGTTGTTTTATCATGTCTTTTCCAGAT